AATTATTTTAATCAAAAAAATTCAATTTTAAATATTGATCGCTCAACAATTTCAAAAATTTTAAAAGAAAAAAAAAATGGTTGGCAATTGAAAATAATGAAACTAGCATGACAACTTTTCGTCACAACAAAGTTAAGTTCCTATTATTAGATAAGGCCATACAACTTTGGGTTAAGCAGGTTATAAGTGGTCAAATATTTTTGACAGATTTAATCATTAAAGAAAAGGCTGCATTTTTTGTCTAGACATTAGGCTTGCCAGATAGCGCATTAAAATTTTCTAATGGTTGGGTCTATAAGTTCAAAAAACAAAATAAGCTATGAAACTATCAGTTACATGGAGAAGCCAATAGTGCACCGATGGAAATACTTCCAGAACAAAGAATAAAATTTCGTGAAATAATAAAAGAATATCCATTAGAAAACATTTTTAATGCAGATGAGACAGGGATATTTTTTTGGATGGCACCACATCAAACGCTCTCATCGCAATCACAATTAGAATGGAAAAAGGTCTTTATTGTGTACAAGTTTAAACCAGAATAATAAAATAAAAAATTATTTGTATGCTGTTTTTAACAAAGATTTAAAAATTTTAATTTTGTTTTAATTATTGAATTAACTTTCTTAGGATCGTATACGCATTACTGTAATGTTGACAGCAAACGCAACTGGAACTGAAAAATTAAAGCCAATAGTTATTGGATCTTCTATTGAACCCCATGCTCTAGCCCGTTTAAATTATGATACCTTATCTATTATATACCGGTCAAATTTAAAAGCCTGGATGTGATCAGATATCTTTGGCGAATAGCTTACAGAGCTTGATAAGAAGTTTTGCTTGGAAAACTGGCATATTTTGTTGTTAGTTGACGGCGCATCAAGCCATTATAATCTTAATGAATCTAATAAAAATAATAATGAATATAATGATTCTAATGAAGATGTGTCAGAATCAGACGAAGAATTAAATAGTGAAGAAGAGGAATTAGAAAATAAAAATTCAGATAATGAAGATAGTTATGCAAGCTCTTCTAGAAACTCTACTCGACGTGGCTGTGGTCGCCCAAGGTTAAGTGCTAGTAACATAAATAAACAAAGTGGACGAAATTCTCGTGGTCGTGGCCGTGGCCGTGGTTGTGGTCATGGTCGTGGGCAGGCTTCTTGTGGTAGCAAGGGTCGTCAGACTGTGCTCGTTCTTATAGACTTCCAGAACCTTCTAAAACTCCTTTAACAAATATCAGGCTTGAGTTTTTGCCACCTCACACTACTGCTCACCTGCAATCGATAGATGCGAGTATCATCAATAGCTTTAAAGCAAAGTACAAAAGAAAATACATACGACATATAATTGATCAATTTGAAAGAGGAGAGGATTTGAAAATATAAGGACATATCAATAAGCCTAGTATTACTAACCTA